ACTTACTTACTTACTTACTTACTTACTTACTTACTTACTTACTTACTTACTTACTTACTGACTTCCTGACTTACTTACTTACTGACTTACTTAATGACTTACTGACTTACTTACTTAATGACTTACTTGCTTACTTACTTATTCATCCAATACAACCAAGTTCCTTGCTGCAGATGAGAAGCAAGTCTACAAACTTTATCGGCACAAAGACTGACTGAAAGCATGCAGCAGCGTGGAAATGACCACGGTAAGAGTCAGATTATGTTAAAACTTAAACCTTAAAAAAAACTTGACCGTATTTTGATCTGTTTGACATAAGAGGCAAAGCCATTATGTGACAGCAAAGCAGCTGTAATACTGCATAGCACATTATTTCCTAAAGGTTATACAGCTGTAAAATGATCATTATCACTCAGCTCTATATTTCAGACATGAGCAAATGTGACAAACTAAGAACTGCTGTCACAGCTACTTAGGCAATAATTTGATTTTTTAGGCTCTCATTAATTAATATTATAGACTAAATAAAATTCCAGACATCATGCCTTCTTGTATCTCACAAAGAAGCAAAAAAAATAAATCCTGTCCTGGTTGAACTGTTTTCTGAATTTCTACGTCAAACCCAAAAGCACAAACCATAGAGAAGGGTACACCATTACTCACACGGTGACTTCTGAAAGCTGCTCCTTTGTCAGATTCAGTGGGTGGTTGATGGCGGTGATCCCAAACTCAACAGGTCTGGCAGACGGAGGAAGGTGGGCTCGCAGGATTGCATTATTTGCCACATTCATGAAGGCTACCATGGAGTGCCAGCCTTTGTTATTATACCATACCTGACAACAGAAAGGTTCAATGAATTCTTTTAATCTGTAGCTAAACCTGACATCCATGCGAGATCTGCCCAAAAAACTCACCTTTACATTAAACTCACTCTCCATGTATCGCAAAAATGTACCAAACTCCCTCAGTGTAAGTCTGCTGAAGTGACCCTGTGAACAAATAGCATTAATAAAAACGCTCTAAAATCTGCACCAAATAATCCAAAAGCAGAATTACCCCTGTTATGTTGAGCATTCGTCCCAGTTGATAGAAAACACTCTGGACGTCTTGAAGGTTCAGGTCCAGGACAGGAAGTTGTCCACCAACCGAGAGACCACCGTACCTGATAACAGGGGAGTTTTACTCTCAGTGTGATCCTTTCACACATACAGTTACAGAAAACAGGAGAAACTAAACTGTTACCTTTGTTCGTTCACCCAGTATTTACTCTTCAAACTGTGAAATCAAAAGCATAACAGGTGAATAAGAAAACGTAGGAACAAAATTTCAACCATGTAAGAAACTTTAAATGGATTTGATTCACACTAATTTGTGTTTTTTCCTTCCTGTCCACCGGATTTGAACATCAATGTAAACAATGTTCCAACCTGCCTGGTTCTGATGAGGCTGGGATAAGTTTTGACCAGAAAGTCCGAGATGTTCCGGTCAGTCAGATCCAGCATGATGTCTCCCGTGGCCTCCACTCGCTGCCGGGGGGGCAGGCCCCCAGCGCCGATGGGACAGATGGGCATCATGGTGAGCTTCTTATCGGTGCTGCACTGGCAGGAAGGTGACGGGTTCCGCTGGTTCCACTCAGGACTCTGTAGGATGTTCAGGACCACAGAGGAGACGTCGGGCTGCTCCCACTCTGAGATGCTGGCGTTGCAGGGCATCCTGGAGCAAAAAGAAAATCAAAAAAACAACCCTTTCTCAGTTGACATGTTTCGATTGCGCCACTTTCTCGTGCATAGTGCAGAATTATCAATGTTTTGTGGAAACCAGAAAAGAAGGACAGCTATGGTTTCAACGCTCACCCTAACGGTTCTCCCTCCATGCATCGTGTGCCCAGGCCGGGCCAGGTTAACAACCGATCTATGAAGTGTTTCATTCTGGGGTCAGCTGGATGCTCGTTGCTAAAAATGATTTTTAAAAAAAAAGAAAATTAGATCCAGGTTGAACAAGCTGAAAAGTATTAAAAACCATAGAACCAGAATGACTGTAGTATTTGTTTGATGGTCCGACCTGAAGAAGGTGAACTGCTGCCCGTACATCCACGGGGTCAGAGTCAGGCTGGGGTATTCTCCAAACGGAGGAACAATCAGGGTGAAGATCAGAGATATGAAGACAAAACTGGCAGGAAGGACAATCTGAAACCACACAGTCACAACTTAAAATGGGAAAAAATATTTAAAAGTTTTAGGCAAAAATGAACAAAAGTCTGGTTTGCAACACCTCAGAAACTTCAGGATTAGAACTATACTTAGCACAAAAATTAAGTGTGTTTGGTAGATTATTTCTCTGTTCTAACAATGACTCTTGGTAATAAATCTTATAGCAGCACCTGGAGGTACCAGAAGCTCAAAACAAGAGTCAATAACAGCAAAATAAGCAGTTTGGCAGAAAAGATTCGGCAATGTTTTCATGTACGCAACTGACATACATCCAACTCTACGGCTCATCCCACAAACGCATGTTCCTTACAAATGTGGCACCATTTAAGACTTTCCAACAATATAAGATTTATTGTCAAAAAGCATTGTTATAACAAAGAAATAACCAACCAAGCACAAATTTACTTGCTTTTTTGTGCTGAGTTTATGTTTTGAACCTATGTGTCTTGTGGTACTACACCGCTTGTTATTGGTTTTAAAGCTGGTACCTGTGCCAGGAAGTCCTTCTGGCTCCTCATGGAGTGGTGGAATCTCTTCACCAGCAGAGCGTGGAACTGCTTCAGGGTCAGAGCGACACCTTTCACCTGCCTGGAGGCTTTTCCTGCACTGCTGTCAGGTGTGTGGTTCACGCCGTTTTGTTCTGTGAACAATAAGTACATACGGTGAGTGTGTGGGGGGGAAACAGAGTGTCCAGACAGAAACTTATAGCTGCCTTTAGCTGACTCGCTCATATCTGTCTGTTAAACCTCACATAAAAAGGAAAAACAACTTCAATTAATGAGATTTCCTCTGAATAAAGCAGATCTGCTCGATTCAAAAAGAGTGAAAGAAAATATTGTCTGAGTTCTGTTCAGTGACTCTTTCCTTTCTGACCTTCGTCTCCTCCTACACCAACTCTGCTGCCATTCTGTCTTCCCTGTAACATCCACTGCTCTGAAGGGAGGAGAAAACACAACACACACTACAGGGTTAGAACCACAGCACGTGCACAGGCTACAAGCTAGCTTTATGTGTCGATTATGGGCTGCACAATGATCAGTGTGAGGATTAGCGTAACATTAGAAGGAGCGAGCTTATGTCCAGGAAAAGGCCAAGCTGAATATCAGTGGTGGCATTTACCAGCAGTGGTGGCATTATTTGCTGCTTCTCCTTCTGCTGTGACCTTTAGGAATATCTGTTGGAAAAAAAAGAATAAAAATCTTCCTTAAACTTTGAAATTTTACATGTACGGAGCACTCAAAAAACAGATGTAGTAAGTTTAATTTAAAAAAACGCCCCTCAGCCCCGACCAGCGGTGAACCTACCTCCTCCAGTGACGTATCAGAGATGCCGAAGCTGCTCAGCCCCATGTCTGAGAGCGTCTCCTCCAGCTCCCGAAACAGGCTGGCATAGGCTCGATGCTTGAAGCCTTTGTTGGGCAGCAGGTAGGTCAGCTCCTGTCCGATGGTCTCGATCAGCTTCGCTTCAGGGACGTGATGGTGGATGAGTGTGGTGATGCTGTCCACGTCCCCTGGAGAAAGAAGACGTTACAGCTTTGGAAGCAAAGGTTTTCCATAATAATAAAAGGAAGAAAATGAGAGAGAAAAAAAACACTTGAAATGATTCAGGTGCTGAGATTCAGGAGTAAATCTGAGCTGGAAAAATCTTTGTGGTCCTGAATCTTAACAACTGTGTCCTCAGGCAGAGGAGGAAAGGAAACGTGGGTCAACATCAACTATTACATTTTAAATTTTGGGGAGGAAAAAAACAGCTTTTGCAACTCAGATAAAAGATTGCAGTAATGGGGATTCAAACAGGTGCAGATTAACTAATTTATCCTGACAGGTGTGTCAGGACAGGACAGGACAGGACAGGACAGGACAGGACAGGACAGGACAGGACAGGACAGGACAGGACAGGACAGGACAGGACAGGACAGGACAGGACAGGTCAGGACAGGACAGGACAGAATAGCAGTGAACAAATTATTTAGAAATTTTATGTCGATTAAATTTAATTTTCTTTTTTAAATCATTTAGCTTTTTCAACGCAAACTGGAAAGTATAAAAAAACTTTTCACTTTCCCATTTTTTTCTATAATATGTGACTCATCACATCGGAACGAGGATTAAGTCCAAAAGTAGAAGGTAGAGAAATTATAGGCAGGATTTTGATTTAAACGTGTGCAAAAATTGCATTTTGTCAAAATATAATGAATTCATGCCTTATCAGCATGTCATTTGAATGAACTGTCTGAAATATAATCCCAAAAAAATTTTTTGAAGGATTTTTTTGAGCAGTAACAACAAAGAAAAAAAACAGATTTTGAGGAAAAATGTCTTAAAAGTTGGAATTTTTCTCTGTGAGCTAGAAAGGTTTTTGTTTCTTTCCAAGTGGGTAATCTTAATCTACAAATACTGTTTGAGGTTTCCTCTTTATATTAACATCAAAAATTACTAAATTAATTTACATATTATTAGGATTCAGACCAAACTGTAATGTATTATTGTAACCAAGAAGACTAATTAAGTCAGCTGAGTCAGATGAGCTCATGATACCAGAAGGATCCAGCTCAAAATGTAGATTTTTAAAGCAGGAATCTGAAAATGTATTTAGGTCCTTTTGACCAAATTTGACTTAATCCTCATTTTAATATGATGGGTCACATATGTACATTTCAAGATGTAATCCATCCACATTTCATTGTTTTTAAGGCACAGCTGCCATCCTTTATTTTTATTCATTCTTAGCTAAAACGTAACAATTAAATAACAATTTGGTTAAGATTTCATCTTTATTCTTTTTCTATACAATTAAACTTTAATCCTTTTACTAGATAAACGGGTAACGCTTTCTTTTACGGTACCTTTATTACCCTTATTACCATGTAATTGCAAGGTAATAAAAATGTAACTAAATTGTAATTACTACCTTATTACCATGTAATTACGTGTAATTAGGATACAAAATAAAAACTACTGAGTAAAACTACCTTTAATGGGTAACTACAATCAAATTACTATTCAATAGTAACTCAACACTGTTTACAACCAAAATAATGCAACTAAATCTTGGAGTTAGTGGTTAATTGCAATAAAGTATAACTTTAAAATTGTCCAAATTACCTACTACTTATTTAGGTGTTGTAATACATTACCAGGCAAGTGCTACATTACTGCAGACAATTCATTACATAGTAAAATTGCACCCTAATTACCATGTCATTACATGGTAATAAGGTAGTAATTACATTTTAATTATTTTTATTAATTTGTAATTACATAGTAATAAGGGTACCGTTAAAGAAAGCATTACCGATAAACGCAAACCAAAAGTAAGCAAAAATACACACTAAATGAAAGTTTTGATCTAAATAATAATTTAGTTTTCAGTGAGACGACCAGAGACAACCTGAGAGCTGCAGAAGGAGTTGCTTTTCGACTTTCAGCACAAAGATAGGAAGTGAGCTCAGCAGACGTCCACCTACCATCCAGAACCCTGTCCAGCTGCTGCAGCTGGTTCTGAGACTGATCTTTGTATTTGGTGCAGATGGAGCAGGAACACGAGCAGTCTGAGGCGCAGTCGCATTCGTTCTGGACGGGAAACACAAGACGCTTTTTTGCTTTTTTGACACAAACTGCAGGAAAATAAAAACTTCTCCGGCAAATAAACCTCACAGCTTGGTTTTGTTTCATTTTATTTTACATTTATTTTATTTTTTGGTCCCATCTCTCCGTTCACCTCTCTCTTCCTGAGGTCCTTCATGCGGCGAACGAGCGTCAGATAGAAACCGACGCCGAAGCAGTTCTTGAGGAAGAGCGGGGAGCCGCAGCAGTACAGCTGTCCTTTGGAGATGATGGCGATGCGGTCGCTCAGCAGGTCGGCCTCGTCCATGTGGTGCGTGGACAGAATCACCGTGCGCCCTGGACAAGGATGACGCTTTTTATTAAAAACCACCCGTGTTAGAATAAAAACTCTGCTCGTTCACAAAGTTTTATACAACAACAGTTTTCTGTAGTTGATTAATTTTGATTTGATCAGATCTCTGCTTTATTTTGCTAATTCTGGACTCAAACGTCACGTTTTATAAGAACGATTTGATACGGTAAAACCTGAACCACGACTTTGCTGCGGAAGCATCTTTTACCAGTTCTGTATTTCAGCAGGAGGTCCCAAATGGATCTTCTAGAATACGGATCCACGCCCGAGGTCGGTTCATCCAGAATGACGACCTTCGCCCCGCCCACAAACGCCATGGCCACAGAGAGTTTCCTCTGCATGCCACCTGTGAGGCGCAGGAACACACGTGTTGGAATAAAACCGGGGCAAGTGACCCGTCTCCGCACACGCAAGGACGAGTTGGTTGACCTGAGAGGTTCTGAGCCTCCTCGTCTCTCTTGTGAGGCAGGCCCAGGTCCAGCAGCATGCTCTCCACCTCTAGCTCCGCCTCCTCTTGAGTCCGACCCTTCAGCAGCGAGTAGAACAGGATGTGCTCTTCCACCGTGAGGCTGGAAAACAATGGCAGCAGAAAAAACAAAAAAACAAAGTGTTAGTTCTGGTCCTTGTGCGAAATTTGTTTGTTTTTGTTGTTTTTGTCTAACTTAATGGATTTGAACTCACTGGTTGAAGAGAATGTTGTGCTGCGGACACATCCCCATGGACGTGCGGATGACGTCAATGTCTGTTTTAATGTTTTTCCCATTGATGAAGGCGGTGCCAGATGTGGGGGGGTACAGACCTGTCAAGATAGATCTGGACAAAAATGTATTTTTATTTTAAAAAGAGGTTTAAAATATAAGGTTGTTTTTAAGGGAGATCCTGATAAACCTGTTGGATAAAAGCTGTGCAGATATAAAATACTGAATATTAATTTTTTTACGGTGCTTACAGAGTTGTCGTTTTCCCCGCTCCGTTGTGCCCTAAAAAGGACGTGATCTGATTCTCGTAGAAGTTGATGCTGAGGCAGTTCACCGCTGGACGAGCACTTCTGTCAAACACTTTCACCAGATTCTGAATCTGAACCCCCAGAACCAGGTCCACAGGGTCGGGCTCAAAGAACAACTGGCCTGCAGTAAAAAAGAGGAACATGTGGATTTTTATTCTATAACACAAATTATTTATATTTATTAAAAATGATTATTTAGAATTCTATTTAAATTATACACTGCAAAATATATCCACCTAACCAAGTTTTAAAATCTTATATCCAGCCAAAAAGTCTTTTTGATCTTGTTTTGAGACTGATTTACTAAACAAGAACTGATTGTGTAAGAATAACGGAGTAAGAAAATTTTACTTGGTAAGATTCTTGAAATAAGAAAAAAAATTGTCAAATCAAGTATTTCAAGAATCTTACCAAGTAAAATTTTCTTACTCCATTGGCAGAAATTTTGACTTAATTTGAGTCAAAATTTCAGGCTAAATAGACAATCTTACACATTCTGAAAACAAGATTATTATTCTTACACAATCAGTTCTTGTTTAGTAAATCAGTCTCAAAACAAGATCAAAAAGACTTTTTGGCTGGATATAAGATTTTAAAACTTGGTTTGGTGGACAGTTTTTGCAGTGTAGTTTCACCAAGAAAAGTTTCTGATAAAAAAAGTATTTGCTAAACTTGGACTTTTTGTTTTATCTTTATAAGCTGAATATTTTCCACCTACATTTCTTTTTTAACAAAACCAACATTTTCAGTTTGACCTCGACAGCAGCTCCAGCTTCATATATATTTCACCGCCTGTAATGACTGATAAAACTGCAGCAGCACAGACTTGAAGGGTTTTTCTCTGGCTGACGCTGTTTCAAAAAGCATTGGTGCCACTTTATTTTAGAAGTCTGCGCAGTGTTTCCATGATCCACACACACACACACATATTTGGAAAGGTGAAGTGCTCAAAATGTGAAAATAGAGCTCTAAAGACACGCCCGATGCTAAGAAAGCTGCAGCAGAAAGAACAAGCAAACAGTGCATAAATTATCTTTATAAATAGTTGTGCAGGAACAGTATGGTTACTGTACCAATTCTGATGTTGTTGCAAAAAAAGAATCTGTTTTTTAATAAAGCTTACCTTGGTTTAAATAGAAAATAATTAGACACAAATAAGTAAATAAATGCACATTCCTCTATTAGTTCCTCTTTCCTCTCAGGTATGTTGTTTCACAAGCACAAAGGGCTCTTAATTACTCATTTAAAATATACAAGTGCTTCTAAATTCCATCTGAAATTATCAAGCTAGTATCTGATTATACATATAAATACTGATTTTTGTATACGTATATAGCTTGAAATAAAAGTATAAGCTTGAGCACTTGACATTTCAATGAAAATATTGTTGCTTCTGATTCTGTTTTTCTTTTTTAAACTGAACTAAACAGAACCAGAACACTCTCACTCCTGCTTCAAATAAGTCAAGATTTCAAACTGACTGCTCCTGTCTGACTAAGCCATCTCAAATAATGAATTATGTATTCATTTATTATTATTCCCAGTCACTAATATGAGTTTAACTCTTTCCTGATGATACAGCTGTGATGTAATTCCCTGTTTTACCACTAGATGTCACTAGAGTTATCCTTTCATGCATTTAGAGCTCTTCTCCTTACTTTCTGTTCCAGGATCCTGACCCTCCACTTCCTGGTTTGGACTCTCCTCTTGCAGCTTCAGCAGCTCCTTTTCCCGCTCCAGTTGATCCCTCTTACTTTGGTGTTTGCAGGTTTTCTTGCTGGCCGAACCGTTACAGGCGTACGTCTCTGGCGTAGTTCTGCTCTCAACATCCAACTCCTGGTTCCCTGGTTCTGGTTTCTTGGAATCTAGGAGAGACAAAAAAAGATACAAATTTTAAAAAAAATCAAATGTCTAATTAGGAATGTTAGAGGAGTTGATCTTTTTTATTATTTAAACATTTTATTAGTCCAAGATGACGCATTAAGGCTGAAAGCTCAATATTTGAAAGAGGATCAGGTTTTGCTGACTCTACTTATTTGTCTTTTCTTCAACTACCAGTTCAGTTTGAGCTCCAAGAGTCCACGGGGAAACAAAGAAGATTGCATTTTCTCTGGACTAAACCTGTTTCATGGCTTGTTTTGACCTTTAAAAATACGAGCTGCTCTGTATATTTAGCCCGTAGTACATATTAAACCCAAACTCAAGGGCTCCTCTGTCTGAAAGGACAAATTTGAAGTCATAAAGGTGCTCCTCAAGTCTGTTGACTAACCTTGATCAGACGTTTCTCTTAGTGAAGAGGTTGGTCTCTGCCAATATGAGGGCTGGAGCAGGAAGTAGACCGGCCGGCCGATGCCGTACTGTCCTGTGGAGTTAAGATTTGCTTTTAATGTTCAGTTTCTTTAACACAAAATCGATCACAATTGGAAACGTCGGCGGCAGAAACCTGGGAACACGTTGTCCAGGTACCAGGCCAGGATCGCGTAGAGGACAGCGTCGAACACCATCATGAGGATGGAGGTGAGGAAGGAGTAAGTGTCTTTTTCTAACGGGCTGGTCTGGATGTTGTTCCACTGCAGACCCAAACCCTGCTCCTCGTACCGCGACAGGTACTCGGTCCCGAAGCCAAAGGCCACCGGAGACAGTAAGCTCTAGGAATAACAAAGGCAGAAAGATGTTCAGTTTGTTTATGTTGGTCACTATAATTCAACATTTACTGTATACGTACATTTTATTTAAGATCTGCTTTTTGTTAGAGCTTGGAATAGATGTTGGGAAAGACTGTCAGCTACTACCACACCACACTTTATCTATAAAACAGACTGACAAACAGCCATTTTCATGATGGCTAACGCTAATTAGTTGCAGCAGCCATCTTAACCTCTTCAGCCCCAATGGTTTTCCTCAAAGCTTTATCCTGTGGGCCTATCCCTAACCTAAATAAAATAAAGTACTATAAAATAAAGTACACAAGTAAAAGGTAACATGATTGACTACACAGCTGTGATGTCAGAATGAAGCTCAGAGCTGATTGGCTGATTCTAATCAATCGTGTACCATGTATGGGTGGGACATGAGGGGCTTGCCACACATTTTGGACTCTGGAGAGTCTATAGATGAACCCAGCTGGTCAAAAGTGGTGTCAATCGAAAGAAGACAGTCAACTGAATCGTTTGAACAGTGTATTATGCCAATTCAAAGTCCCTGGTAGCGTAGGTCAGGCTATAAAGAGGCCAGAAATAACCACAAACTGGAAATGTGTCATGAGTGAGTCAGCATTTACAAACTCTACTTAAATAATCTTGGAATCAAAATAAAGCTAACGCTTGGGATATTTCATCAGAAGTGTATCAAATCAACAGAGAAAAAAAATTGCATGTGATAATTTTCCTTTTGCCTGAAGATTGTTTGCATTAAACCTTTTTAAAATTATAATAAATAAGGCTAAAAACTCTTGGAAACAATAAATTCACACGTGAACATCACCTGTGCAAAGATTTAAGCTGCTAAAATAAACTAGAGCAAAGTTACAGAGGATTTAGTAAAGAAATAAGTCAGTGTTTTGAAATATTTTGCAAACAGACACACGTCAATCATAGGATTATCTGCAAAAGGCCGGCGATAGGAAATGACTGAACGTACTGCTGCCAGTTTGATGTTGGTGGTGATGCGGTCCTGCCAGGCGAAACAAAGAATGTGTGGCAGATAGAGGGTGAAGTAGATGATTCCACTGCAGGCGGCTGCCAGGTTGGCCTTGTTGAAGAACACACTCATCAGGAAGCACTGCATGATGGTGGCCACGGTGAAAGTCAGCAGGAAGAAGAAGACGAGGAGCGGGTCGCTGTAATTCAGGACTTTCCCGCCCTGGATAACAGAACATGAGGATGTGACTAATGCTGAAGTGACTTTTATTGTTGTTGAATTGTTTATACACGAGAGGAAGTGAATGCCAGGTTTCAAATGTCTTCCACAAGAGGGAGCTATTACTCCCTACAACACAGCTTTTCACCTTCTTTCCAACCTTGAAATCTGGCTTTTTATTTCTTCGTGTTTTCCTTTTTTTTTTTCCCTCACCATTATGATGGCTGTCAGCAGGGCCGTGCTCGCAGTCATCATGATGAAGCTGTCGATGAACCAGGTGTACCAAATGACCCCGCTGTCGACCCCCATGGCTTTGAGGGTCTCTTTGAGGCGCAGCTCCTTCTCCAGCACGATGCTCTTCACGGTCATGGACACGGAGTAGATCCAGGCCAGCACCATGAACATGGGGAAGCAGCGGTTCAGGGTGATCATAAAGCTGCAGGGAAAGACGTGGGAAAACGAGGAGATATTCACAGAAATCAAAATAAACTGTCCTGAGGTGGGATCGGACCAGCTGAGGAGCCAATTACACCTTGAGCCACATCCACACACAGACAGCCCACGTTAAAAACACACGGGAATAGAAAGGAACTGTGGCACAAACGCTTATAACGGCACATACTCCTGTTTCTGATGGCCTTTACTCACCAGGGGTCAGACATGAAGTAGCTCAAATATGTGTTTTTCTAATCTTAATTACTTCTTTTATGCCCGAGTCTTACACTGATGTCATTTTTCTGTTCAGTCGTGATGAAGTTAAACCTCTCCGGGCACCAAAACACCGTAGGTTGCTTCAGTGCCAATAATTATGCACCTTTTACTGCAGATTTCACTTCCCATTTAGTCTGATTAAACACTACGACGTGTCATTTTTTGTGTTCAACAACATAATATATGCATCGTGTCTTTTTTGGTTTGACAGTAGAAGAGGACCTCCTCTGATATTGTCTTTTTTGCACGTTTTTTTTTTCTGTTTTGACTGAATGTTAAAGGGGCAATATTATGTGTTTCTCAGACATTCATTTAAATACTATACCATAATAAAGTATCTATGTCACCTTTAACTGTTATTAAAATGCTGTTTTATGTTTAAATAGAAAATAAACTTATCTTCTCATCACTTCCTCTTCTAAACGCCTTGAAATTGGCCTCTGTCTCTTTAAAAACCACCTTCTGCTTCTGTCTCGCCCATTTCGGTGCGGGGGGTGTCGCGCTCGTGGGTGCTATGACGCAGTTTACTTGGCATCTGAAAATACATTTCCTCAAAGGTATTTTTAATCTGAAAAGAGCTTCACTGAGTGAGAAGTAATGTTGAGACGTTTAAGTTTCACTTTCACTTTCACCCGAGAGCCTGCAGGAGTCATGGGTGGGGTGTGTGGGGAGTGGGGGAGGGGAATGTGCTCCGCCATGAGGAAGTTCAGCTTAAAGACTCGTCCCAGGGGCGTTTCTGGTCCCAAAAGGCGTTTCTGGTCGCCACCTGTYGTTTTGCTCCTCAGCATGGCTTCCTAAAAACGCTGCAGAATTTCTCAAACATGCATGAATGAGTCAGAGCAAGGCTTTGGGCATGTTTTTTATGAGGTATAACATTATAACATGATATAAAACTCAAAAAAGTTGACTTAACATGATGTTGTCCCTTTAAGGAATCAGTCATTTACGCACAATTTGGGGTTAGGCTTAGATCTGCATCGGTCTAAAATTGCAGCAAACAGCTACACGCCTCAAAAAGGTATTTAAAAGAAAGAATAAAATGAGGGTCATCTTTGCCTAAGAACTCAAAGCTGAAAAAAGTCAACCTAAAAAGAATGTCTTGTTTTCAGCGGCAGTAAAAACGAAAAGTTTTCCCGCTATCTTGTTTCCTGCTGCTTCATTTGTTCAGCTGGGTCACTAAAGACTACTTAGCATTCAGTGGTGTCTTATCTACTGTAAATAAACTCCAATTAAAAGGAATCCGTTCACGATAGCTGAGGAAACTCGTTTGTGCCCGAGCCGAACCACCGGTAAACTCACAGGTCGTCCACGTAACACGGATACGGCATCTGCTGGACGTAGACCCCGAGTGGTCGATCGTTGCTTGTGTGGAGTTTTAGGATCCCGTGTTCAATCATGTCCTGCAGGTAAGCAAAGCCGCCCCAGATGTATCGCTGGTCCTCCACGGGATCCGCTCTGGGACCAGGATCCCAGTACCTGAATCAGAACCAAGAAAGCAGAGGATAAAAGTGATTGGATCTTCCAGGGTTAGGGTTAGGGGTTAACCTAGCCTAAGACTGTGTTTTTTTCTGTTTATTGCTGTTTAAAACAATCCTAACCTTAAACTTCACCCAAGTATTTGAGACAAATAAAAACGATCATCAATCCAAAGGCTCTTAAGCCACATGTTTTGTACGTTGCCTTTATTTAAGCGGATAAGACTGAGTCAGAGCTCGTTTACAATCTGATTATTCAGTTGTAGAGAGGCAGGACTCCCACTGGGTCCATTACAGCCTGCTGGTCTGCTGTAAACAGCAGAAAGTGGCTGCACACACCAGGAGCTATTGGTAAAACGTCAGCTCAGGAATGAGATATAAAGAAATGCATGGAAGTGGTGCTGATGGGAGGATCGAGGAGCAACAATAACAATGTTGGTTTATTTGTCGGCTGATCCTTTCTGCGAACTCCCAGGGAGGATTTGGCAGCTGTTGCCCCTCCTGACACAACCTGGGCTGCTGCCTCATGTCTTTTTCAAATCTTTAATGCAGCTCTTTACTGACCTGTCTTTGATTTTGTTGGTCCGCTCCACCGCATCGATGTCCATCCGGATCTTGTACTTGGTGTGCCGGGGGACAGTTGAGGTCCAGGGGTACATGTCCATGAAGACCACGCCGGCCCAAAACTTGTTCTCCTCTAGCAAGTGCAAGGCCTGATGGATCATCTGGGCCTCATCCGTGTAGGCCACAAACTTATCCAGACTAACGCACTGCAAACAGACACGTGGAGGACACAGAGCTGAGGGTTTGACAGCTTTGCTTCCAAACAGGCTGTTGTGTTGGGAGGGCAAACATTTATCCTTTCTATGTTTTTTTTATTCCTTTCTTTGTTTTATTCCCTTTAGCTTTGCAAAGCAATGAATGCCGTAATGACATTTTTGCCCTTGTAATCTACAGTAATTACTCTAGATTGAAGCAATCAGTAGACTTTCATCTAATCATTACGGCTTTCAGTCGAGGCAGTTTAAAAAAATCATCTAATTAAGATAAAGTCATTTCACAACCTTACAATTTTTTTTTATTATTTCACTTGGATGCAGCTCTCTTAAATCAATGACGGTCTGGAAATCATGGCTAATTACCATCCAATGTGTTTCTGCAGCGTTTGGCATGCAGAGCATAATGTATCCTCTTACTTTTTCTCAGCAGTCACCTCATCAATAAACACACAGGTGACCCAGATTCAGTGGCAGCTATACACCATGTTTAACAAATGCTGTGCTATATGCTCCCCTTCCCCACCTCCTTGTTGTTCCTGCCTACAGTCTGCTAAAAGATCATCTTAGCTTCATTTCTCCAAAGAGCTCACCGTATCTTCACTACAAAGCTACGTGTTGCCTCACAGAGTCTGAGCCTGTTTTTTGCCTGAGAATATTTTTTTTTCTTTACCAACTGAAGAGTGTTGCAGTTTTTGTGTGTGTTCCTGATGAGCTCTTCTACTGTAGAAGTCTCCTTTCAGCTCAAATATGCTCCTACATTTTGACTTTCCTAGTGATTTATCAGGAAATAAAGAAGAAATGCTTTTTATTTTTATTTTTTTGTCAGCCTGTGAAAATAGAGGCATTAAGTAAGAAGTGGGTATTCATTTTTCTGCCTTTTTCACTCTGAAATAAAACTGAAGGTCCTTTTTTTTATCGCAGCAAATAAAACCAAAACTGGTAAAAACCTAATATTTTTCACATATAAATGGGTTCTTGTATTGTTTGTTTTGTCTTAAAAGCTTCAGCTTTTTTGCTGAAAACACTTTTAACAGCATTAGTAAAACAATCAATGCAGAGTTTTATTCGTGTGCCATATCTTTATTTTTAATTTCTTTATGAAACTTTACATTTTTATTTTCCCACCTGCGCCCGGAGCTTCGGCTAAATTTGGGTCTTTCTCACCACAACATATAACTCTAACTCTGCGCGACAAGCTCAGGAAACTGAGCTGGCACCAAAGAAAGAATACAAAATAAATGAGCTGTCCTGACAGCATTGTGCGTTTTCCGCACAAGTGTTTCTCTCCAGAGTTAGCGTGCGCCACTTTGTTCGGGTGGCAGAGGAAAACACAAAACCCTGTTAAAACTAGAGAATTAGAATTTCCTGCACAGCAAAAAATGCCAGTGTTAATTTTAACACCAACAAAGTGTCTAAATGTGTCCACACTCGCTGGTGTTAAAATAACATTTATGAACGTGTTCAAATTTAACACTCATTTTTTTTGTCAATTTAACACCAACCTGTGTTTAATATTCAACAATACTGGGTGTCATATTAACATTTCAACAGTGTTAAAATACAGTTTAAAAGTATCAACAGTGTGTGATTATTAACAAAGGAAATTGTGGTGTTTGAAAGGTTAACAGACACCACAAGGTGTCAACACACCATCAAACTCTTTGGAGTGTTGCATTAACACTTAATGTGTGTTAAAGAGTCACTCTTAACACACCAGGACATACCTCTCACTCATGGTGTCGATTTTGGCCAATAACGTAAACTTAAAGTTGAACAACTTGATCAAACTGAACAAGAAAACTAACCAGAAAAACTAATTTTTACTCTCATGAATGTTTTTAATAGTCATAAACATGCAAAAACATCATTTCTGCAAGATTTCTCAGCAAGGAATGCTGGGTAAATACTGGTCTGTCTGGCATGAGGTGGAAGAGGGCGGGGCTTTTCAGAAAACTTCTTTCAACACTGCACGGTGTTGTATAGCTACACTGTTGAGTGTTGTATAAGACTTAACTGTGGGCGGAGCTTATTTAACACTGTCCAGTGTTGAGACAACACTGAGGAAATCAACACTGTGAATTAACACCAACACTGGGTGTGAGTGTACTCAGAAAGTGTTAAAATAACACTAGGGGCTGTTAAATCAACACCCAAAAGTTTAACACTCCTGTTTTTGCTGTGTGCGAAAATGCAGGGTGAACGCTTAACGCTGAAAGATTTTTTTCCTAGAGCTGCTGAAGAAGCGGAAACTGTTTCGTAGCAAAACTGTTGGTGTGAGTTCAATTTGAACAGCTGACTTTTGCTGAAAGAAGGAAAACAAAAGTAGACAGCAGCAGAAAGGAGTTGTAATTACCAGACAGAGGGGGAACAGAGAGTAAAGAAGCTCACGTTGGCAGAAAAAGAGAGAAAAGGAGTACAAAAAGTTTCACTTTGTTGTAAAACAGTAAAAGCAGCTAAAATTAGCAGCAAATGGCTCAAAGGTAGCTGAAAGGCTGAAATTAGCACCAAAATGCAGAAGTTTGCTGAATGAAGCATAAGAAGCTGAAATTATCACAAAAAAGTGAATTTAGATCAGAGGTACCCAAAGTGGGGTACATGGGCCAAAATTGGCCCACCAAGCCATTTGATTTAACCCACTAGTTGTCTTGATGACTAAGTTGTAATCTCCTGTCGTCCTATAGAAACACAGTATTTTCACCTGCAGTGATTTCATCTACTGGCTCAGACTGTGAGGGACTATAGTGCTGATAGTTTCCACTCATGGGACTGACTTTAGCTTTGAATTATATAAAGATTAAACATGAAATATGAATAACTACAAAACAAAACATTTCGATTAGATTTAAGCACAGGTGTAGATTTTCACACATTATAAGACCATAAATTGCCAATTTACAAAATGTCCCATGAGCCTTTGCTGCCTGAGTGTACATCAAGCTTTTACCAAGTGCACAAGCTAAAAAATAAATGAATAAATAAAAAGTATGAGCCACCACACTGGCTGCTAGCTTAATCATTAAAAATAAAAGGACTTTACTTAAAAAGTATGTATTATATTGTTAAATTTAGCCCACAGCCCTCAGACAGATTTTCATTTTGGTCCTCTCAAGATAATGTTTGGACATCCCTGATTTGGATGGGAAAAAAGCTGAAAATAGCTACAAAGCAGCTAAAATGGCAGAAAACAGCTGAAATGAGCAGAAATAATCGAAAAGAAGCATAAAAAGGTACAATTAGCAGAAATAAGCTGATAGACGCCTAAAGATGTTTCAAACAGCAAAACAGCTGAAAGGAGAACAAAAGAAGCTAAAATTAGCAGAAAAAAAGAAGTTGAAGAAGGCTGAAATTAGCAAAAGAAATTGAAAAAAATGCAGAGCAAAAGGTGAAAAATCCAGTAAAAGTTTTATGAACATTTTGAAGTCTTTAAAGATGCTTCACTCATCAATAAGAAACAAAATGGCAGAAAAAGTATAAAGTGCTGAAATACCAGAAGCACCTGTGGCATCACTATGTTTACATGCTCAAAATTCTTTGATCGGAGTGAAATGTATTTGGATTAAATAATCCGAATGTATCGTTTAGATGGGCCCAATCTGATTATGATGAGTGTTTACATGCACCAGGCTTTTATTCAGAATAGAAGCACTGATATGCACAGTTGCTAACTTTCCCTAAAAAAAAACACAGAAAAAAAGTTTTACTTTCATGATGAACATGAACAAACAGCTTCTGAGCTCAGAATGGACCTGCGACAGGTTGTAATAATGGTGGACACATTACTGCGCTCTCTGGTTCAGCTACGAGTGACATGCAGACTTTCTTTTTTTTCTGCAAAGCGGCGCAGGCTGTGTGTCTTCCTTCTTTATTAAATGAGAAAACGGGAGGAAAAGTTCTGTCTGCTGGAAACCGCTGGATGAAAGTCAGCAGACGTGCGCAGTCAGGTCAGTTTTCCACAATCAGAATAAGATGATCAGATTAAGTGTTTACATGCACACTGTTCGGATTATCAATCGGCATAAACCACCTCTCTCGTTCCAATTACAAATTCATTTGGATCGAGCTGAATCGGGTCAGAGAAATCCGAATGGGGTGTTTAAATGACACATTTTTATTCTGAATGGCTGTTTAATCTGATTACTTATGTCCATGTAAACGTAGCTAATGAGCTGAACGATTTGACACATGAATTGTCAAAACAGCTCAAAAATTGTTGAACGAGTTAAACGCTGAAAAACGTGCAGAATGCTTGATAAGCATTCACACAAAAATGGAACAAAACACATACAGTAGATGTAACCGTCACACAATGCTGCCTACAAAACATGCAGAAGATCCTTTCATGCACACACACACACACACACACACACACACACACACACACACACACACACACACACACACANGTATACATACACACACACATACATATACACACACACACACACACACACACACACACACACACACACACACACACACACACACGCACATTTATCCAGAGCTTCACTCTCCTGCAGTCACCATGTCTAATGCTTCTTTTCACATTACTGTACGAAACACTGAATGCACTCGCAGAGAGCACTCATTCATCTTTAGGGGAACATACATTCAGGAAACAATGATGCTCACTCAGAGATGGGCTGAGGAGAGAGAGCCTCCTGGATGTTTGTGTTGGGCTAGGCCTTCACTAACTGCAGCTCCAACACTGGCTGACAGCTACATCTAATTGACTCAACTAATCGGGTTTGTTTGCAAGAATCTGAAGGATCCTGGTGCTGAACTTGGCAACAAAAGACAAACTGAGACTCCAGCATCGATGGGGTGCTTTCCAAATCTCACAATCCTCGGCCTCCTTTTAGAGGGGAAAGGGAAGTGTGAGCGATTTGTCCCCTTTTACAACGAGGCGCTCGGCTTTGTTTTCAGCGCCGAGTCGTCCACCGAACCAGCTCTGAGCTCACGAGGAGCCGTGACTCATTCCCGCCTACTCTCCACTTCATCACCGGCTCCACAAAGGAGGCGAGGGAGGGAGGCGACAGCGCACTTGTTCTCGCCACCTTTCAACCTGACGGACGAGGGAGAAGCTATAAAGCTGCACTGAGTGGTCTCATCTGTCTCAAAAGGCCGAGCTGCAATCTGCAGGGCGCAGGCCCGGCTGACTGACACATCTGTCTGCATGAAGGACAACGTTTGTTTAAGCACTGCAGGGGGGGGGGGGGGGGTCACAGGTGACGGCTTCCTTACCTCCCCGTATTGGTTGAGCATGCGGACAGTCTGGTCCGTGACGTTAAAAATGTTCCTCCAGTCAAAGTTGGGCATTCCCGCCTCCCTCTGGTCATCTGGTCCGTTGTGCAGAAAGTTAAGGATATGGTTGGTGGTGAGGTCCGTGTCAGCCAAACTGTTGTCCATGAAATGCATCACTGTTGGGTTCCGCAGCGTGTCCTGCAAACACGTCCCTTAATATTAGCAGTTTTTATGGATAAGTACCTCAGATTTCTGAGCAGAAATAATTGATTTATAAATAGTTTTTTTTGTTTTTAACTTGGTAAAAAAAATTTTTTTTTAAAAAAAAAAGAGAATTTTTTTTTTTTTTTTTTTTTAAAGAACAAGTATGACCAAAAATTTAAAACAGCTTTACTGAACTTGACACTTTTTTTTTCAAGTTTGTTAAATAAAACAAAGCTGTGGGAACTGGGGGTGCTGTGGGTGTTACAGCACCTCAATGCGCATGACAACAATTAAAGGCTGTGTCCAAATTCAGAGGCTTGGTCCTCCGAAGGCCGGATTTGTCACAGCGCCATGCCGGAGGCTGTCCAAATTCAGAGACTACGACAAATTCATTTTTTTGTTTTTTCTTCGATTTGAGGGACGGGTCCGATGGATCCCTCTCACCCACCATATCCCATAATGCATTGCGGGCCAAGTGGAGATTTGTTTTACCTGCTCGTAATGGAGGACGAAGCAAGAGAAAGTGTTAAATAAACATCTGGCGGTATAAAAATTAAAACTTTCAAACCTTTGTGTCGTTAACGCTTTTGTCATTAGTATAGAAATGTTTTTAATATTATTCTTGTCAGAAATCAAACAAGCTGGTAAATGTGCCCCTACAGCGGGTCCAGTAGCTCAAATATTGCCTTTAAGCAAACAAAGCAAAAGACGGACATTTTTTTCCGGTCTTCTCGGTCGACCAAGGACCTGGCCCACCTAGACCGGGTAGGCCAGACCCTTCAAAGGACCCAGTCCCTGAATTTGGACACAGCCTAAAAGTCGACGACAAAGAAATAAAGGGATGGACGAATCAGTAAATAAATTAAAAATAGCACAGTGTTAAAATCAAATTATATTTTTATGCTACTGAATTAAAAAGGGTAAGTTAAGTTGTTGTTTTTTACACAGCTAACTCTACATAAAATGTGTTTCCACTACTATGGCATGAAAAGTTAATTTTTTTATCTTTTTCTTTTGTTTGCTACATCCTGGCCAGTGTTGTATAAAGTACCTCAAAGTGACACTTAAAGAGTAAAAGTACAAGAATCTTACCATAGAATTACTTTGGTAAAAGTTAAAGTCTCCTCTAAGAATATAAGGACTTATTCGATTCTATTTTTTTATTTACATATGTCTGGTATGTACTGCTGGAGTGTGATGTGATTTGTGTCACATAGCTGTGATGGATCATACAAACCAACAGTCAGAATGGTGTGTATTTATATTTCTGATCCAACCACAGTTAAATTCCCTCTTACTGAGATGTGCCATATATCTGAAAGGGTTTTTAATTTTTGTAAAACCTAACAAGCTGAATAAAATAGGAGTAACAACTTTTTACTTCATTACTTCATTACTTCCATTTTATTTAAACTGTAAGGAGTAGAAAGTCCAAATATTTGTGTGAAAATATAAAGAGTAAAATGTTGGCCGAAAAATAATTACTCAAGTAAAATACAGAAAACCTAATTTTCTACCAAGTATAACTTTGTTATTTTACAACTCTCCCCCCTAGCATTTAGTGCTATTGTAGTGAAATAATGTGAGGTAGTGAGGGAAATTGTGTGTGTCGTGTGCAGTTTCGTACCCTGATCATGTTCATCTGAACGCTGCGGTGGAAGAAAGCCCAGAGCTGAGGTCCCACCTCCTCCCAGGCCTTGGCCATGTTCTGGAGCCTCTCCACCTCCTCAAATGTAGTGTTGGCCTGGAAAAGAAAACACACCCATGTGAAAGATGACAAGGTTTTTTAATTAGTACACAAAAAAAACAAAGCTAGTGGTGTGTCCTGTACTAATAACGGGTCACATACAATGCTAAAGTGGCCATTCAAGAGCAATAGTGGGTTGTTTAATGGTTCACACACAGACAGGCAATTACATAAATGCCCACCTTTCATGTTGGTGGGCAAGAATAAAGAAGAAACTTGACCGTGTCTGAAACTAATTCAGTTTAAATCACACGGACAACAAGAGTCACAGAAGAGCTTTAGGTTTTAAGTTTCACTACAGCAGCTCATCTCAAGAGTTAAATGTGTTACGTGCAAAAACACATTTCATCTGACAGATCTATTTGTCCTTCAGCTGCAGCACCCACACATTTTATTTATTGTTCAATCTGTTCCTCCTTCTCTCCCCTCGCCCTGTTAAACCTTTAACCTCCATCTCTGTGCTCTCCTCTACGCCGGGAGTCCGCTCATTTCAAAGAGGGGTGGAGGTTTGAGCACACATACGCAGGGATTGGAAATGCATTGTAAAAAAGTAAATAATAATAATAATAATGGAGAAAGTGAGAGGTGAAGTCTGGAGGTGGGGGGTATTTACACTCTTTAATATCTTGCGGGCGGCCGGGGAGTCGGGCGTGTACAGGATCTTTCCCATCAGCAGGGGTTTGACTGAATTCCACACAATCTTTGTGACGGGGTTGGACTCCAGGGCCTGCATCAGGGAATTGCAAAAGGGAGCTGAGGGTTGAGAAAAAAAAAACAAAAATGCACAATAAAGCAGGATGTAGAAGGAATTAGAGTAAATATATTTGAATAAACTCATAATGAAACCATATAAATGTGCAAAAAAAACCTTTTAGCTATAAATAAATCTTTTGCTTTTATATGTAGAAAGCTTTAAGTCTAAACGTATGGGAAGGTCTTTGTAAAAGTGCTCATGAACAAGAGCAAATATGGTTAGCATCATAACTAGCCTGTAATATAATGTAATTGAATTGCTGTAGCTTGTTTAGCCTGTTGGCGCAGCTCAGGACTGCTTTACTTACTGACGGTGTCGTCATAGACGTAGTTGTGACTCTTGCTGCCATTGACCCCCAGAAACACCTTATAGTTGTTGTCCTCGTACCAGTTGAAGGACAGGACCCTGGACCCCCCTCCCTCTGGGTATCCGCAGAACAGGTTGGACACACTGGACATCAGCTGGGTGAAGGAGGAAGGACCTCCGGCTCGGAACAAAGAGGACACCACCTTCAGGAGCTCCTTTGAACTCTCCCGTTTCATCAGCTGCGAGATAAAAGAAAAAAAAAAGTTGGGTTTTTGTCAGGATTCTTTTTGAGCCGATTGTGTGAACGCTGACACCTGTGAGGCTTTTAGCTACCCTTCTGCTGTTTTTAGATTTTAGTTTGCCTTTTGTTTATTTAGCCTTGAATCGTTTTGCTGGCTTTTTATCACAAGCAGCTACAATTTTTGCAACTTTTAGCTTCAGCTACTTTGACCTGCTGGAAATTCTGACACTTCAAGCTTTTCTATTGCTATTTGTAGCTTTTACCTACTATTCTGCTACTTTCGGCTTTTAACTTTTAGTTTTTAGCTAGCCTTCTATTACCTTTAGCTTGCTTTTTGACACTTTTAGCTCAATTTGCTACTTTCAGCTTTGAGCTAGCATTTTGCTACTATTTGTAGCTTTAGCTTTCAGCTAGGATTTTTCCCGCTTTTATCTATTTTTAGTTATTAGCGACCTTTAGCTTGCCTTTTGATGCTTATAGCTGGATTTGCTATTTTTATTTTAAGCTACTGTTTTGTTGCTTTAGCTTTCAGCTAGTTTTAGCCACTTTTAGCTACTGTTATTGCTACTTCAGCTTTCAGCCACAGTTTTGCTATTTTTAACTAGCATTTAACTGTGTTTTAGTTTGTAACTAGCAGTTAGCTTCTTTTTGCTTTTAGCTATTATTTTGAGCCTTCCAGGTTTTTGCTAGTATTTAGCTTTTTTTAGCTTTAACAACTCAATTTCAGCGGTCATTCAGTTTTCACCATGCAGTTTCACAAAATAACGCATTTATTTTGCTCCAGTTTTTTTTTTTTCTTTTTTACTTTTAAGCTTGAGCTAGAGACGTTCTGAGCTATTTTAACAATCCTGACTAAAATATGTTAGTTTGTCAACCCAACAGCAACACTTGTGGTCATCATTGTTGCTCAGTAAGAGCAAACATTGTCCATCCTTCAGCCTCTGCAGCCGGATAAATAAAAGTCAGGTATTCCAGGGGAGACTAAACAATTAGTTTCAAGCTGTTTGACCTTCATCAGGTGATTATATACAAGGTAAGAATATTTACATTCTTCATATTCCAGTTTGTGTTCTGCGAATTTCAGAATGTAAACGATCACATGAAAACAATAGTTAGAAAGATAAGCAAACATGTTGGACAGACGCCTCTCCTCGCATGATGAGGACATTTGCAGGGCGGGTTAAATATCCTCCTATTGACCGGACAAAAATAACTTCATGCGTGTGCATTTCTCCCAGCGTCACTTCCTCATTGTGAGGAGGAGGACACGCTGGTGAAAGGACAACATTCATCCAGATATTCAAGAAATTTAAAACTGGAGTTGCAATTTTCAGACATTAAATGGGGGCGAAGTTCTTCCAGGTGTTCTTACATTTATTTAGTCATCCAGGTCAGAACCAGCATTAAACCAGATGTTGTCGCTGCTGAAATCAACCACCTCTTCAAATCAAAGTTGTCCATGTGAGTGAGTTCAAACAAGCTGCAACACAGCCCTAATTTCAGCCTCACTCCCACTGTCTTCATTTTTCCAACTTTGTATGTCTCCCACACACACACACACACACACACACACACACACACACACACACACACACACACACACACACACACACACACACACACACACACACACAGAGACAACATACCTACCCGCAGTGAGCTGAAAAGAAGGAGAGGTGGGTAATGAGAATGTTTAACTCGCCTTTCCGTCACTCCGGTGACACAAAAGGTCCCACCTACAGGATGTGTCACCTCAAAGGAATGTCCCTTTTTCCTCTCATACTTCTCTCTCTGAAGGCCTCCTGCCCCTCTCTCTGTCACCCCTGACCAAAGTGTCAATGGGACACCCCCCACCCCTGCCCCCCCGCCCCCCAGGCACACAAGGTGAACGTGCCGAAGCGCACATCTCATTGAAGGTGGAATAAGTTTATTTTTAAGTCCTGCGGCAAAAGCTCCTTCGGCACCTCGTCTCGTGTTTAAGTTTTAGACAATCCTAGCATATTTTTTTGGCAAATTAGGTTTTCACTGAAAGGCAGCGTTCCTTTTTTGAAACGAAGACACTCATTTAGTCGAACAGGTGGTAGAGCCTGATTCAGAAGCAGAAAATCCCGTGGAGCTGCAAATGACAAGAGTTTTGTATCACAAACTCAAAAAGAGAAACTAAAATAAAATCAACAATGCGCGCATCAATTAAAAAAACGAACAGTCGTACGATTTCAGCTCATTTTGCAAAATGTTTGCCTTTTATTTTGTTATTTTTAACCTTCTTAAAAGCTTTATTATTGAGTTTTTTCTAGGAATAGTTCAGATCTACTGAAGTGGGCAGTATTTTACCTGTTGTAGATGACGCTTTAAAGGCCTGAACTTGGAGAAAAAGAGCTCGTTATGAACAAACTGATGAGCTAATAGTTAGCTTTAGCTGGGCTAAGATCACAATGAATAGCTGCTGTTTAAATCTAACTATAATTCCAAGTGTTCAACAAGCTTTCTACAACAGATACAGTATGATGCTGATTGTTCATAACCTTTCCACAAACTGCCATTTCAAAAGATCTGAAAGGTCTCCTTAAAAATCATTCTTTCAACTACTTGAAAAGGCAACTTGAAAAAAAGTTTCAAATTGTGCTAAATTTCATTCGATTTTCCATTTCTGTTGCATCACCTTCAATGACAAACTATTGGTATCTTATTTCTTTTCTTTTGCAAATTTTGTTTAATTATGTGCACATGCAAACGTGTCACACGTCAGAGTTTTACAAAGACCCATCAGTGACCCACATGAGCCCCACGACTCAGCCTCCTCTGTGGCCAATCCTAAAACACAGAGCAGCGGAAAAGGCGAGTTTCCTGCAGGTCTAAAAATACTCGTGCTTCTGCAAGGGTCCGAGAAGAAGAGAGAGAAAAGCTTTTGGGTGGGTG